ACAAACCTAAATAAAAGCTTTTTTCTTTAGCTTTTGGATGAGAGCTGCACAAAACGAAATTTCATTTTGTGCACAATCTGTGTATATAAAGTGACAATATAAGTTGTCTAAGTCGTTTACTGATCAAGCTATCTCAGTAAAACAAAGCAATTTGGTTTGATTTAGGAGGGTGTTAAATAATTTAAATTTTAAATAATCTGAAAATAACTTCTGGTTTTAAAATCTTCAAAGACTTTTAGATTAAGATCATGTTAAAAATCGGAAGATTAAATAACCAAAACCATACTATAAAAACAAAATCTTAAAAACTTTGTTTTAATAAAGCTGAAATGTAAACTTAAAAATTGATAAAAATCAATTTAATCTTAACTCTATTAATCACTTACTTGTTTCTTGTTGCTCCAAGATAACCCAGGTTATCTTAATTCAGATTATTTGCTTAAACAGAACTTATATTTAATTAATAAATAAATAAACAATTATAAGGTTGTTAAACGTTAGGAAACTTTGAATTAATATAAAAAATAAATTTTTATCTTTAATGGTGAATTTACAACTCAATCATTGAGGTAATTTTTTCCTCTTTGTAAACTAATTATGACCAAATGGGTATAATTCATGCAAGTAAAAATTATGTATTTCCCATAAATCTAAAATTGAACTCATATCTATATTTTGTTTAAAAAGAAATCAAATTAAATCTAAATGTATATTTAAGTCATTTTTTTGTAGCCTATATTAATCCAGAAAAAAAGGCAAATAAACCAATCATTACCTTATAATATAACTTTTTTTAATGACTTTAGTTGATCCCAAATTGATGATGAATTTTAACCAACTTCCATTTATATCCACGTTATTCAAGTTAAATCAAAGAAACCGGATTTTTGATTTAAGGATACTTATTTAAAATCCAACAGCTGAAATAACAAATAATTCAAGCACAGATTTAAATATATTTATTTTTAGTCTGGCTGTATGAGAACCTGGGATTACCTGCAGTAACCGTGCAGTTAGTCAGGTTTGCAGTCGACCAGTAGGAGGCGAAGGTTTCCGGGTTTATTAAACTGAGAAAAGAGACATAGAATGAACAACTGATGTCCTCTTCTCAGAGGACCATGACCACAGGTTAA